GGTTGTTACACCACTGACTTTCACCCCCACACCCAATGTTTTCCATACTGTTGGCTCATTGAGATATATTAGCATACATTGGGGTCAGCTAGAGCAAGAAAACTGGAGTAAAAGCAGGGCAGTTGCTCAAAACAACCACTTCGGTTTTATCTTGTAAATTAACAAAGATTAATTGGACACTGTGGGCAACAGCTTTGCTATGGTTCTCTTTGCAAACGGCCTCAGGGCTTGTTCACACCATGTCCGGATCATGTCCAGACCAGAACATAAAAGCATCCCAATGTATCCCTATGGTATTTCTGGGCTCTGTGCACACCAGCCCAGTCCGTCCGGTCCAGACGAAAAAAATACTGCTCGTCTTATTTTCTCTAGTCAGGAATGCATTTAAACCCATCAAAAACGCATACAATCGCACTGGACTGCACCTGCAAGCCCATTTTAAGCTAAAAAAAGGCGTCAAAATCACAACAAAAACACATTGCACTGTTTGCAGATCTGCTACAGACATGGTGTGAAGAAGCCCTCAGAGAGCATAATTATGTGTGAAGGGTTCTGAAAGCGCATAAAAACCTTAATGTCATCTTGTGGTGGATGGACCCTTTAAGTCTAGTTTGAAAAAATTGAATGCTTAAAGTGTACTTCCACCTTTGCAGCCAAATTGGGATAACATCTACTTTATATTTGTTACATGTTCCCATTTACATAGTGTGACGGAAGCTTCCGTTACTCTGCTATTTGGAGGGGACTGCAGGCCTGCCTCCTTCCCACTGACTATAGGCCTTGGCTGTGGAGGGGGTTCTATTGATTGGGAGAGGGGGCTTGCCATGGTGCTTTGGGGCTGTGTAGGAGCCTTTATTTACGCTCCATAGATCAAGAGGGCCCCAGAGACCTATTTCCTAATGATGTGGGGGATACATGGGAAGCTGAAATTGTTTTCCTATACCCCAGTATCCTGTCCTGGACCTGTTAGTCAAGTCTATTTGTCCATTTCTCTGATTGTGTTAACAATGGGATTAACTTGTCACTAGTCGCAGCTGAGTGAATTAACATATGATAGACACTCAGGAGATAATCACATCATATGTGTCTCCTCTCTCCCTATTCTTTCATTAAGACACCAGGGAGGGAATGTCTGTTTGCATTCTGTTAATGTTTGATTTCTGTTTTTAGACTTCCAAAACTGTATATATATTGAGCTGGTTTTCAAAAAAGTCAGTTCTTGGTTTTCACTTCAACATTGGTGTTGTCTGATGTTTGAGGAGTTTAGTGTCTTTCCTAATATATTGGTTCCGTCCAATAATTAGGCAGGTTTGGGCTGAGCACACTGGAGTTCGGGTTCCCACGGAGAGGAAGTTGATTTCCGACAAAGGTACCCAGTCGGGGCACCAGGCAGTCCGTCACACATGGCATTTTACTTTTTTATACTTGCTGAAAATCTTAGTTCTTACATAGATCTTCTATTTAATGTTGTTGGGGGGTGGGGGGGGCTGGGGAGTTATAGTTGTCATAGGTGAAAATGCTCATATATCAAGTAATAAATAATAATGAAAATAATATATATTTTTTAAGTTAATAAGAGCTTGTAAAGGAATTTTAAAGACTTCACGTAACTATTGTAACTTATGAGGGCTAGTGGCCCAGTTGACACTTTTTTTTTAAATCTATTTAGTGTTTATTTTTAAAACAAGATTGTTCTTTTAAAAAAAAAAAAAACAACTGTTTTCTTTGCAGTTTACAAGCTCAAAGAAGAAGATCTGAGTGCTGCAGGATATTTAAATTTCTAAGCAGCATGTTGATAATCGCATTATATTAGTAAGCATGACGTCTGAGGAAACCACTTCTTGCACAGGTTTATCTCTGAATAGGCAGGAAACATCTGATCGTTGCCAAGCAACCCTGGAAACCAATGTAATTGACCTGGGGAATTCCATTTATTAGCACGATAATAACAATATATGGCCTTCGCTACTGATGGAAATGCTTACACAGAGGCATGCTTGGTCACAAGCTGGCTGCAGATTTAATATCTAATAATATTTTCTCCGATGTCTAACCTTTAATATCTCCATATAAAAAAAAACCAAGGGAACATTACGAAATAGTGATTATCCTTGTTGCCTATGTTCCAAAAGGGATAGTTCACCCAAAACTCTTACAATAATGAAACATCACTGTGGACATTCTCTAAAATACAAGATAAAAAATAAATAAATAAGGAGAGGTAGACTGTCTCCTAATGGCTGCTGTTTGTGGGCGGACCAGAGAACAATGCTCAAGAAATCCTGCCAGCACAGTATATGGGAGAGAGTTCAGAGATTAAACCTCCAAACATCAAAGCAAAATGGACAGGACTGAAAATTTAAAAGACAACATCACTCCGATGTTTTTAGTGGGAGGAGGCTAAGGTGAGCTGCTTATATCATTAAAGTGTAAGCATTGCCCAAACTTTTTTGGATAATTTTTTTTTACTGTGTGTTGCATTGGGGAGATTCTCCTTCACTTTCTTTCCCAGGAATGCAACATGAAGTGAGAGAAAATCTGTACAAAGTGGTGGGGAATTCTCCAAACCAGAAAAAGTGCCCTCACTGGAAGATTTTCCCTCACCCCTTGTTCTGGTGGCAACTGTAAGATGATGGATTTCCTATCACTTTCTGTCTCGGTGACTATGGTCACTAGGGTAAAAAAAAGAGGGTAAATCTACACAGCAGGGACAAACAAAAAAAAAAAAAACTGTTAGGGGTTCTAATCCTTCCCTACTTTATCCAAAACTAATACAAAGGTTTTAGCATGTTATACACACATTTTAACCTCCTGTCAGTATTCTTTGATTACTGAAAATCAGTCCTAAGTCCCCTTTTAAAAAGGCCATACATAATGTGGAGATCTTTTAGAAAGGATAGCTGCAAATTACATTCACAGTATTCAAGGCACCCTCTTTATTTCAGAAAAACAGCCTGTCATTTTTCCCTCTTTAATAAAGTGCTGCATTGTGCTGGTTTGCTGCTTAAACCAGGATATTAAAACCAAGCATATAGAAAATCAATAAGAGCTTACTTTGCTGATGTCTCTTCATCATACTTTGCTTTTAGGTCAAATAGTGCTGTCTGAGACTTGTCCAAAGCTACAAAAGAAAAAGGCATTGTGTTAGGAATAAAGTTTTTGCAATACGCATCACTAATATAATAACATGTTTCTAGGAGTTAGAGCAGATCTGCTTTTTGATACATTTAAGCTGAATTTGATTTTTTAACACAGAGCATTGACAAAAAATGCATATTGCAGAGCTCTATGCTAATTCTGTTTACATACACCTACTCCATTGTTCACTGGACATTGTTGCTCTAGATTGGTTTTACTGGTTTGTCAATGATGGTGAAAGACGTAAATCATGGCTGTTCAATAGGAGTCGGCATACCAACTTCATCTCCCCCAGGGACAGATGCGATAGGGCAAGAATGCAGGAGCACAATTGGGAGACAGATGTCACCCCAAAACAGAAAATATATGAAAACAAAGACATTTGTGGCAGGATCACCAGATATTCTTTGAAAGAAAGCATGAAAAACATGCTTGTTGCTACTGCAATCTATGGCCACACTGATACAGCACTAGGTGTCACTATATGCAGAGTAACTACATGATGCCAAGCAAAATATATGACATTCCAAAGGTCAACACACTTACTTTAAAATTGCATTGGAGAAAATGCTGCAAGTTCTCTTTTGGTCCCATAATGGTCCAGGAATTTGGCAACACTCATAGCTAAAATGGTCAGTATTTCACATGGCTAGTAGGAATTACAGCACCCAGTAGCAAAAGCAGTTGCTGTTCAACTAAGCAAATAGCTACAGAGACCAACCACGTGTCATAAGGATCAGTTGCAGAATGCTGGTACAGTGCTGATGTTACGTTGTAAGCTTTTTAAATGTACACAATGCCAAGGCAATTCTTACTAAATTCATATGTAAAATCAGCAATTCAAAAACACGTGTTCATTTTTTCATTTCCATAAAGATTTCACCTTAAAAAAAAAAAAAAATTCCCCTGCCCACTAAAAATCAAAAAGTCATCAAACCTGCTTGCAGAACTTGAACTCTGTGTTCAGTCTCCTCCAGCTTGGAAGACGTAGACATCTGAGTCTCTTGCAGCTTTCTGGAAAGAAAATGCGTTCCGTTAGTGGATAAATTAAGGTTTGTAGCAAAGAATACGATTCATTTGTTGGGCAGACACACAGCCATATTGGTAGTGCTCGATTGTCAAGATAAGATTTTCTAACAAGTGATGTCAACCTGTATTTGTTGTCACATGCCACAGAAAAAGCAATGAGCCTAATTTCTGATCACTAAAGCTTGAGAGAATAGATGATGTTGTTTTCAACATTTGCAAAATGAGCAGGCAAACAGCTTGTAAGAGGATGGGGAGATGTCACAAAACAACTCGGTCTCTCCAGTCCATCGTTAATTTGCAATGGCAAATGAAACTGAGCTTACAGCATGTTTATTAAAGTAATGTCAATAACAGAACTGTACAAGTATGAGCTATGGATTTACAGTTCTACGGTATCTAGCACATTTATTGCCTGAACTTTCCCATGACATACCAATAATGGTTCCTGGGTATTACAGAGCACCTCCTCTCTCCAGCGCCCCCCCCCCCCCAGTTCCAAAACCTGAAATGTTTGTGGAGATGGAAATTAAGTGGCAATTGAAATGATCACTGAGTGACAGCAAGATCAAATCTGTAATTTACAAATACAGATATGCACTCTTCACTTTACCTAGGTATACTGATGACTCAGGTATAGGGTGAGCACATGAGAGCCAACCTACAGCCTTCTCAGGGAGACATATAAGGCTCAATTTTCCACACAATTCAAGGGAGATTGGTGATTTAAAAAAAAAAAAATGGTCCTTTATACCAATGCAATTCTACAAAAGCCCACACTGACATTGCAATGTAATGGTCACCTCACTGTGGGGGCAGACATTTTGAATTATTATCTATGCTGTACAGACACAGGGAACTTGTGACTCTGGCCTACACAATGGTAGCATGAATAATACAAGTCAAAGCAATTCATGTGAACGAATTATTGTCCAGATTGTCAGGGTCAAGATGCTCATTACCTAGAATGTTTTCTCTTGAGTACTTTGCATTCCGTAGCTGAACAATACATTATAATAGGCTTAAGGAAAATATGTGGAAATTTTGACAAGATTTCTACAAAGATATGGGAGAAGAGATTCTCCAACATGATTTATTGTGATCATTTGCTATATTTCCTAGAGGAATTTAGGCCAGGAAAAATATAGTGCTTTAAAATATGTATAAGTGTAATTGCGTGCATGTGTAAATAAAGGTCAGTGAGCTAGAAGGTGGACAACACAGAGTTGCCTCAACTTCTACTTCTGTCTCCCCATGTTAAGGGAGCCCATCCACTAAAGTAACACCCTCCCTCTTCCAAGTCAGTGCCTGATGCTGGTTCAGGGTGACTTATTAAAATACTTCCTTTCAAAAGGAATGTATACTCTTCTCTATGTTTTAGATAAACATATAAAAAGAAAATTGGCTTGATGTAAATCATTTTATTGTGTGTTAATGTGTTAAAAACTTTGTTTCTTTCCGGGAGTGGCCCCTTCTCTTTCCTGGTTAGTAATGCAGTCTACAGGCTCAGAAAATGTATGTTTAATGGGAAATATTACGTGACATTGTGATACAGGTGTAGGTCTTCTACATATGCGTACTGATGTAATCTTGCTGTATACCACCTGATGATTGTATTCAAAAAGTCTAATAAAAAGTTTGAAACAAAAAAAAACTTTGTTTCTATGTGCAATTTTTAAATATATGTACACATGCGGGCAACCATTTTTGCTTATTACATATGCAGACTCTGCTTTTTTCTGCAGAGCTATAGAATAATTTTACTTCACTGCAGCTTATCAAAATACATTTCTCTGAGTCAGCTGCCATTAAAGACTCCTTATGTGGCTGATGTATCAACAGAGAAAGTAATTGCACAGAGTCACTGAGAGCTCCCTCCAGCTTCTAACCCGGAAATATCTATATATATAATGTGGACTTTGCAGTGTGCAACAACTAAGCACTATATAGCAGTGCTAGAATAGCTCAGGAACCCAAATCTCATGCGTGTGCACTCCAGCACTGTACAGTAGTGAGATTTGTGGTCCTCATCTTTCCCGTAAGAATTCTAAGTGAGGTGGAAGGTAAGTATTTTTCTCTTTTTTGGTAATTGTTTCCCGTTAAAGAGCAAGTCACAACAAAACTCACTCAAACACTACAGTAAAAGAGAAAATATGTGTTCAGTGAGAATACACTATAGTTACCTTTTTAAAGGGTAAGTTCGCTCTTGTTATAGACAGTGACCCCCGATATTTATGCACCCCACTCTGAAGCACGGAGTCAGTCATATATGTCTGACCATACACACAGGCCTCATTTACACTGGCAATGACATACATAGGTTTATATGCGATCATAGGACATTTCTGAACAGATATAAATGCGTGTAAAGATTTTAAATGGTACAATTCACGCTATGTGTTTACCTGCATTTACATAGTTAGTAAGGTTGAATAAAGACCAAGGTCCATCCAGTCCAACGTGTGTGTGTGTGTGTATTTTTCTGGCTTTACAACTTCCCATATCCCTGTAGAGAAGAAACTCGTCCAGTAGTTTCTTTAATTTATCAATGTTATACGCAGATACCACAACCTGTGGGAGGGAATTCCAAACTTTCACTACTCTCACAGTGTAATATCCCTTGCGAATTCTACGATTGAACCCTTCCTCTTCTAACCTCCTGTTGTGTCCCCGGGTTCTCAATACAGGTTTAGGATTAAACAGTTTATTCCTAATATTGTGGTCCCCATTGATGATTTTGAAGACGGCAGTGTGGTCCCCTCTTAATCGCCTCTTTTCTAAGGTGAATACATTTAAATTCATAAAGTGGGATTGTGTTGAGAGAAAAGAGAATTATCTGTGTAGAGGTGAAGATTAGATATTCTGAATGCATCTAAACGCATGTAACCAACAGTAATTTTAAACACTGGCGAACTTAATCTGGGAAGCATAGTGGAAACCAAGGGAAGCAGACTTGGTTTCAAAATTTTGGTCTTTTTAAAAATATTATTACTATTATTATTATAGTACAACATAAAAACCCATGTTTTTTTAAATACCACCAGAAGAAAGCTTTCTAAGCATCTCAAACTGATGGCATCATCACAAGGCCAGAGCCTGTCGACACAGGCCTTTAAGCACACAATATCCCAGCTACTGAAAGGGCATAACAGTGGCAAGCATCAGGGACCCATAGTTCAAAGAAATGCACTAGGAAGTTCTGCAAACTCTGAAGTTGAGAGACAGTGTGCGATCAAGCAGTTGTTGGGACAGCAACTGTCAGACCTGGGGTGACCTTTTGACTTAAAACTGAAAACTTAAATTTCTGTGTGTTGTGACAGGTTCTCTTTAAACTGAAGATCTAACAGTTCCTCTCCACAAGCATTCCCAACGCAATTTTTTACTCTGTATTCAGATCTTCTTTTCACAAATTTATTCTGTGGGTTTTGCTCTTCCAGTAGTGGGGATGAAAAAAATATGAAATTAATCCATGAATATGGATGTGAAATTGTGTACTTAGGGATCCATGAGGAAGACTGAAGCTAGCACTCACCTCTCTTTTTCAGCAAAGTCATTTTGTAACTTTTGTTCTTTCTCTAGAGCCAGATTTTCCGCCTGGTTCTTCAGGGTCTGTTCATATTCCCGGATTTTCTCTCTAAGTGCTTTTATTGTAACCTCTGTAGAAAAACAATTGGGAGAAAATGTGTTTACATAGCTCTGTGTGGTTATATAATACAAGGCTTTCTTTACCCTGTAGGATCAGTGTGTTTTAAACTCCATCTCTTCAACTCTGACACAAAATCAATAGATATGAGTCCCTTTGGAGACCTTTTACTCCCTAAATGTTAAATTGAACTTTAAACGTTTCAGTTGAGAAGGATCAATGGATTTTGCTGGGAAACAGAGCCAGGGTTTCTGCAACAAGCCTGAAAAGAAAAAAATCAATGCTAAAACATAATATCACCTTATTGAACAGTTTCAAATTATCTCCCTGTTGAGCTGGGATTAATAAAGTCTCCGTGTGGGTTAAAGCATGAATTAACATGTGGAACCGTTTATTCATCTTTCTGCACGCATTAGGACATTAATTTCCCGTAGCCTCCACTTGTATGATAAATGCTCTGTATGCCTCTCTGCTTCTGCACCAGATATTTGCATATTTCTGGCATGGCATTGTGATGTAAATCAATTAAACTCACTGTAAAGCCTTCGGACATGTACAATTAAAGAACCACACAAGATGAAACATGGAATATTAGCTTAGCGGCAGCCTGACAAGATTCCCTCTAGTATTATTGTGTTTCCAGTCCTACATTTACACAAAGAACGGATGAACCAAAGCTATCAATTTATGGGCTGATTATTGGACAAATTAGGTCTTTTTAGATAATTATGTATGGGGAGGGGGGGCGGGTGGTGTGTAACCACCTACACTCTTAACTAAAATGTTATTTGCTAGAAGATTGATTGGAAAGGATTTGTTCAATATATACAAATCAGTCATGGCATAAACAATATGCCTAACATTGGTGCAAAAAAAACAAAACTATTGTCTACTGGTCCAGCATTTGTTTTTAACCTACTGCACTGACCCCATGTTTGCCAATACTGTGAGCAAGGGGTACTATATTCATATAACGCAATTCATAATATCACGTATTGAAATTTAGCAGCTAACAGGTGCACAAATTCTCTTAGATAACAACTTTTCTTTCGTATATGCCAAATTTGTCAGATGGCCATTATGGGCATAGATAGGATAGAAAATCTATGGAAATAAGAAACATCCAGGTATATATGTTCAGTACCCCTTAACTCATACTTGAAAGCAGGTCACCCAAGCTCTTAAATTCGAATAAAAAATAAATAAAAATTACATAGATAATGTCATTAGGATTAACAGCAGTTTTTCCGAGGCCCTATAACATAGTTTTATTTTCAGTTGATCTAGCCCTGGTCTGTTATTTTTCCACTTCGTGTAACAGACCAAAGCTGCCCAGCAAAAGTGTCAATTACAAGATTGGGAAAATCCATATTATACTGGAGTGAATACTGACAATTGTAAAATTACAAAGAATGCACAAAACCATGGACAGTAATAGAAACTTAACAGAAACCATTCACTTGTCTATCCAAAAAAAAAAGCTTTGCCTTGACTTGTGACAGCCAAGTAGTTACCATTTCAGAGGTAAGGAGTAGTTGTCTGCAGGATTCTCTCATGCCATGTTTCCTTTAAGCCTAAATGTTATGCACAAGATTCATTTGCAAATATATATTTTTTTAGGAATAATTATAACTTTTAAAATGCAAACAGAACATTTCATTGCAATTCACAGGTTCAGGATGAACATATGGGCACTGGAATGCTATTTCTCTGCATATGTACATTTATTAATATAGTATAAGCGGGAGTTCAACAGATTGCTCTGCAGAGGTAAAATGAGGACAAGGAAATACTAAAGGAAACCCACTGCTAAGAAAGAGTGGGGAAAAAAAATGTACATCTTAGGTGCTGGTATGTTATATATAGCAATGTTGCTCATCTGTCGCTACACAATATGCATTTGCCTCAACACTTCACTTTCCTATACAAAAGACACTCATTTTAATTCTACAACGGTCTATAACTTAAAGGATATTTCCATCCATCAAGGAATACTCAGATATTGTATTTAGTACAGTTTAAAAAAAACCTAAAGCCAAAACTCTTAGAAAATGGTGCGTTTAAAACCCTTGGCTCTTCTGGGAAGGCCTGTCTTCGATATTTGTCACCTATACAGCAACAAGATTTCTCCTCTATTCCTGTTCTGGTGGCAACTCAAAATTTTGGATTTTCACCCTAACTTTCAGTCCTGGTGACAGTGGTCTACAGGATTAATAGAGAGCGAATCTCCCAGGGACACAGACCGTAATATAAAAAACAACTGTTAGGTGTTCTAACTTCTCACCACTCCATCCAAAAACTAAAAAGAAAAAAAAAGTTTTGGCTTTAGATCCACTTTTATGAACACTGGCTGCCTGCATTTATCAAAATGTCCGGGGGAAGAATCAAGTCAAGAGTCTGTACCAAATTTAAATGTTTAGTGACGGTCATTATCCAACGCTCTGCCATGGTAAGCATATTTTTTTTTTGCTGTACTACCATTATTACAGATGCCAGTTTTAATGGTTGCACAAAGCTGACTTCCTGTAATGAGAGAAAAAAAAACTGCCATGTGTTCACCTGGTACTGTATGTTCTAATTGATTTACAGAGATGTTTGCATTAGCATAATACACTGTTCTCATTTAGACCGTAATAGAAAACAGACTGAGACCAAAGCAGGCACATTTCTTAGTAGTATGCCTGTGACAGGTTAACCGTAATCAAGTTCCGTACTCGCTTTTAGGCCAAGAATATTCAGCCTAAAGAGAAACACGTAAGCCATCTAAATTGTTTTTGAGTAGCACTCCAATTAGTCTGTTTTTCCACAGTATTTTAATTAGTTAAGGTCCTTGGCTCCAAGGTGGCCTGAGCTGGTCCTGGTCACAAAGACGTGTATAGAATAATCGTTTCAAGCTGAGGAGAAAGGCCTGTCCTCCCACACTGCTCAGTCTAACCAAGTTTTCGTTGGTAACACCAAAGCTTTTAACATGGAAACATCACCCACAAAGGCAGCACAGTTATAAAGAGAACAGAAATAGTATGGCTTTAATGAAATGGCTAGACTAGAGATAGGCACTTGCAGCATACATACTAACATGCAGATGTTTTTTAGTGTGTACTTAAAAAAAATCATTATACAGAATTCAAATTGTAACACGTAACAAGCATGTAACATTCATATTGCAGAATGTTCTATATTTACGACACCTCTCTAGGACTTTACAATCCCTGTGATCTAGGTGGACACTGTCACCTTTCCTTCACTTTTGTCCACTGCTCTCGCCTAGGTCACTAATGCTGAATATTTTGAACGTGGACTGGCATGAGACAACAGCTTATTTGATGAAACAATCAGTGCTCTGCTGAACAAAACACACTGGCAATGCACACATACTGAAGAGACGGGTGAGGAATCAGCAGGCTGAAAAAAAAAAAAGTCCTGTCAATTTTTTTACACTATATGGCCAAACGTTTGTGGACACCTGAACATCATACCTAGAAGAGTTTGTAGTACTTCGAATTAGAAAACCATGGGCATTAAAATGGAGTCCCCCCCCAAAGCTATGATGGGCCTTTGCTCTTCTCTTTTGGGAAGGCTTTCCATAAGACTTTGTAGTGTGTCTGTGGTTTTTTTTTGCCCATTAAGCAAAAAGAGAATTTGTGAGGTCATGTACTGATGTTGAATAAAAAGACGTTCCAATTCATTCCAAAGATGTTTAGGTCAGGGCTCTGTGTAGGCCACTCAAATTTCTCCACATCAAACTCCACAAATCATGTCTTTCGGCAGCTGGCTTTGTGCTTAGGGTAAATTTATACTGGAACAGAAATGGGTCTTCCCCCAAAATGTAGCCACAAGGATAGAAGCACACAATTGCTTAACATGCCTTTGCATATAACAGTATTATGAATATAGAACTACCTGTCCCCTTAACTGGAAACATGTTAACTCAATTTTATTTGGGTGTCCCCATGCTTTTGGCCATACATTGTATTTCTGTCTAGAACAGAAAAGAAAGGAAGCTACACAGCACAGTGAATGTGTGAAAAGCCACATAAGGGCTGGTTGCAGAAAACTCAGATTGAGGTGAATTGAGTAAAAGGTATAAAAGTGATTCCGCATCACAGTAACAAATGCAAATCCATTTAAAACTGGTTATCTGTCATGTTGAAACAAACACAGTAAAATATCATTTGAAATCTGTAAATGATTTAGGAATATAATGTAAAATGTAAAATACTGCACCATACATGACTGTTCATGTCTTCCAATTGCCGCATCATTGAGGTGTTGCTATTGTCACAGCTAAACCTCTGAATACGTTTTGCCAGCTTGTACCAGGTTTTCACCACATTTACCATCATTGACAGTCTATCATACAACCAAATAGAGCCAATTCCTTACTGATATCAGACTTGCATTCATTTAAAAGAAAAACAAGCTGTATTTTCAGCAGGCTCTTATTTTTTTATTGCTGGGTAAAATGCTGGGAAACGCACACTTCCTTGAGTACAGGAGTGTCCATCTCCCAGGTCCCCAAACAACTCTCACTGGTTCCTCCTGATAATCTCAATATCAACTACTGTCTCCTGTAGTGATGTGAGGTCAGCTGGAGAAACCAGTGAGAGCTGTGGGGGGACCAAGAAGATTCACAATGCCGAAAGTGTCAGATTCTCAGCAGACCCTTTCTCAAGATTAGAGCAGCATTTAGCAGTGCGTAAAGTATGCACACACTACTTTAATAAATATGCCCTTTATTAGTAATTAACATATAGGGACAGGTTCCCTTTAAAGCCATGGTTGGCTCAGCTAAATGATTAAGGCCCATTTCTGTGAGTAGTTCTTGGACTGAGTGTAGAATTCTGGATTACAGATATGAAAGGACAGCATGAATGCGTGTTCTAAAACGGACAGTGATTGTGCAAGATTCTGAACAACAAGAATGTAATCACTGTAAACTGTGCTTAAAATAAATAACTTGATGAGATTGCTCAAACCACTGAAATTATCAGATTTTCTTATGCTGGCTTAATTTAAAAAAATGTAATTGATATTTATTTTACTGTATTTCTGCCTTCACCTCACTACAGGAACGAGTAACAGGAAATACACAGCATGCAGCATTTCATATAAAATCAGAGCCAATGCCGTTTCTTAAAAATGAAATTTGAAAGCGAATTAAAAAAAAAAAAAAAGTCCTGCAAAGTCCCTCTGCAGCTACTGGATTGACTAAATCTGGCCCAGTGCCAAGTCTAACTTTATTTATCTCATATTTAAGTGTTGATGGTGTACAAGCAAACCTAGTAAAGCCCTTCTAGCTGGAGCTAATGAGCAAAAACTTATTTTTCTCATTCAAACAGACCAATAAAATAATCCAACAAGTGTGATCTCGTGTTTATCTGTCTCTTATAAGCAGGAGACATATAAATAATGGTCAGTGGTCATATAACATCTGAATATAGATTGTAAGCCCTCAAGGCAGGGCCCTCCTTACCATCTTGTCTTGATTTGTATTGTGATTGTAATGTCTTCCCTATATTGTAAAGCGCTGCGCAAACTGTTGGCGCTATATAAATCCTGTATAATAATAATAATATAAGAATGACAGCAATTATTCACACGAGACCCAATGTGCTTCAGTGCTTTAAAGACCAACTCCAGCCAAAACCTTGTATTTTCTTTGGGATACAACAAGGAAAGCTTAGTGCATGTCAGATTTTTGGTACCGTTTGTGTCACTTCTGATAGGGGCTGGAAGTGATGGAAAGTATTTTGTGGACACATTTTTAGTTATGAAGGGCTATGATTTCTCACAATATTTTTTATTGCTATGTGTGCCTCTCTGTTTTGGTGATAACTGCTCCCCCCACCCTATCTTTTTGCCCTGGTTTCATAGGGAAAGGTAGTAAGCAAATATTTCACCAACTGGGTGACAGGCAGAGAAAAACACAACAAAAATGTGGACTCTTACGTCAATACTGATAAATAAATTAATAAAAAATGGCTGCAGTTAACTATTAGAAACTATTAGGTGAGGATGATGTCACACCTTTTCTGGTTAGATCCTGGGGAATACAAAGCAGCCACAATCTCGAGAGAAGATGCTCATGCAATGGACTGGAGTGTCTTTTTGTGAGATTTCGCCTGCTTTGCATTACCCGGGAATCTTCCCTGAAAAACAGTGATGTCACATCCAGCCATGTAGAAGACGGGGGTAAGTATAAATCTTTTTAGGTGATTTTGCAAAGGGGAGGGAAATTTGAGCAGACCTTGCATTTTACTGCAAGGTTCGCTTTAAGAAAAGAAAAAAAATATATAAATAGATATACATATGCACACATTGATATATCTATCTCAAAATCTACCTAATGTTGGTTTATATGTTACTATACAGACTCCATAGTCAAGAATGCTTGAGAAGTCACTTTTTTGTATCTTGTAACTGTAGCTTTTACAGTTTAACCCTGAGAATTTATTGGTTACGTGGGCTACAGATCAACCTATTTCCTGTGCACAGAAGGGCTATGTCTGACCTCAGTTCACCTGTTAAGCAGCTAGTATAGGATTAAATATTATGGCCTTTGTAAGACAGACTTTAACACTGATCTAATAAGTAGACAGGGCAAAGCTTTTGCTGAAACGGGAAACTACAGCACGCTAACAATAATGACATGAGCTTGGGAAAAAGTAAATATTAGATGCCAATATAGAATATTTTATGTGGAGACACATTACCTGTAAAATTCCTCAAACAAAACAGTAAAGGTTATCATATAGACAAAAGAATAAAAAGGAAATGCCATGGGGAAGCAAAGAGAAATAATGTCATGATTTTAAAATAATCAATACACAGCCTACAAAATTCCCAAACAATGTGGAAACCCAATGAGACAGCATTCCAAGTAACAGGATCTGTACACAAAATGGTGGAATTAAATTCATATCATCTTTTCACTAATTGCATGTCCATCAGCACATTAAAATATATTACTATACCACACCTTGGTTTTTTACTTCAGCAAACTCTTTGTTGTATTCTTCTAATGTCTCTCGAAGCTTCTGGTTTTCTGTTTCGATATCATGCATCCGTTGAACCTTTAGTTGTAATTGCTGTCCCAGATCCAAGGCAGGTACTGGATCTGCAAGAGAAATAAAGATAAGCAATAACTGCAGTAAGTATAGGGACAGATACATCATCTGGATTAATCCATATCAGGCTGGTTATAATGCTTACATATGGAATGCTCAGGAATGCCTTTATTCTCTTCCATTCAGATATACAGTATTTTTGTGTCTACCAGGGCCAGATCACTGGAGCCTGTAGGCACACAACTTTTGATGCCCTTAGTAATAACCGTCTTTAGAATCACGTTTTCTACACAAAACATTTCTCTTTTTCCTGGTCCAAACTTATCTTAAATTATTCTTATAATGTGTCTATAAACTAAGATTTGATAACAATTCCTACAGATGATTGAAAAAAATGTGGCCAATAATTATACAGGAAAAAGCGCCTCTGCACCTTTAGACACAAGTCAAGTGCACCAAATGATCAAGCTGGCGCTGGCATATGATGTGTAAATATATATAGGTCAGGCACTTGTAGTCTATGTCAGATTTGGTTAGGCGAGTGGCTAAGTTTGAAAGTTTTACCAAACTTAAGAGTACTGAACAGTTATAAACATATGCATTTAGTGATTTAGTAAGTCATATATGCCGCATAATCCATATAATTATAAAAAAGAACATACAAATTCTGTGTCAATAGTGCTCAGATCCAGACTGAGATTTCAGCTGCACATGGTTGCCTAAACATAAACTACTGAATGGAACACAGGTAACTGGTTTGCCTTACGTAGGTTATATAGTATGAAAAGTATATAGGGAGCATTTTGTACAGCTCTGAATGGCTGTAACTATTACCTGTTAATTTAAAATGGGTTAGGTCTGGATGTGTGACCCAATCAAGTATAATTGTTTTCATTGTATCATGTCATTTAATGGTGCTGCTTGTTTCCACTGAGATGAATATAGCAGTGACATGTTCAGCAGCTACAATAACACATGAAAAAATGCACTTGTTACCATATACACGATTGACATAACACCTCTAAAGAAGCATAGGGTTTCATGATCAACTATGATTACCTACACATTGGTCTGTATTATTAGAAAGACAATGCCACCATCTAACAATAGTGGATCAGGAACTGTGTGAACAAAGGCAGATACATTCATTTAGCACATCTGCAGGATAACCTGAGATGGGTGGATACACATTTTAATACAATAAAACTGAATGCTGTTAAGGAGTATCTCACAAATCTCCTATACCATCTGCTGTAATAAATGATCCACACCCTAGAAGAACACGTTTAAACTACCCTACTATAAAAACGGTTTCAGGTTTTAGCCCATACAGCTGTTCACAAGAGGGCACATGTTCTATTAAATATTTTTTTCATTTCTACATCTCTTAAATGCAGCAAACTGGCAGTTGATATTATGTGGAACAGGTCAATGGCTTGGATAAAAATAAATATCTGGACGAGTTACAGTGATGTGCACAAATTGTCTATTTTACTATATACCATTGAATTTATCTTTGCAGTAAAGCTGCCATCCAAAGAGACTCAAGGGGTTTCATTTTCCAAATAAATAAGAAATCTGACTGGTTGCTATAGGTAGCAGCACCAACTTTCCTTCAATATTAACCAGCCTTGCTTGAACTTGAGACTTTTTTTAATTCATAAATATTTATCAATATTGACAAAGGATATGAATCCACTTTGTGTGCACCATTGCAGGAGAAGAAAACAATTCTTCTGGGGCTGTACTGTACACAGACAGTGCAGAAGACCCCCCACTGCTGCCATGGAAGTCATAGTTTGAACTTTTTTAGAAAATAATGGCTGACTGAAGACGGAAACAGAAAGGTAATTTCAAGAACGTTAAATTACAAAATGGCTTGTGTACCAGTTATTAAATTTTTCACAAAAGTGGCATTTTCCTTTAAATATTGCTCACATATGCCCACTAGAATAATACTAAAAAACAAATCCAAATAGATAACGGGAAGAAAAATCACTGTAACTTTTAAAAATCTTCATTTTAGGTGCTAGAATGGAAGGTCTTGTGAAAAGCGAGTCTTGTCCTGCCAGATATGATTACACTGCGGTTGGGGATTGCTTGGAAAGATGGTGGTTCTTATTGCATTTCACTTTTCTGTTTTGAAAGGTCAGGGAGTATGCAACACAGAAAAAGTAGCAGAAAAGGGCTGACCACGAGCAAAATTCATATAAATATAGTACCTACCTAACAATCATTACATAGCAACGTTTAGATAAAAAAAATGTATGTGCCACTAAAGCTGAAGGTTAACCTTCACAAAACTTTACAGTGTACCAAAACTGCAACCATTTCAGTGCTCTGTTTCTCTATTCCGAGGAAGTCTGCTTTCCCTATTCAGACTAGGCCCATTCATCAGAGAATAAAACTTTAGTTATAAATAGGGGATGTCTTTACCAGACGTGGTTTATGTAATTACAGTGAATGAGCATGACACCCATTAGGCTGTCTGCCTCTTAGTGCATACTTATTGGATTACCCGCAACTGCACTGACCACTAGACCATCGATTTCCAATACGGAGATAAACAGGCCAGCTGCCTGAACAATACTTCGGCCAACATATGACAGGGAGAATGCTGAAGCACACAGGGCTTAGAAGAAATTATTGAATACATGTCCGATGAGGGCGCCAGATTTAATGGCAAAAAGGCAGGAAAGATTTAGTCTGTTACAGTGGAATGCTAAACATCAAACTGAACAGATCAACAACAGTGTACATTAGCTAGTTCATTTAACTTCAAAAACATTGCAGTCATTCATTTTGCAGACCACCCTCAGCCTGTAAGAACATAGTGTATATCTGTTAACACATTAGACATGGACACATGCTTTTTCTCAGCTAACCGAGAGGAGCCTGTTGGCTGAGAGAATGGTACCGGCTTTCATTTGATTTCACTCTTCAATTAAGGAAGAGCATGCAGCCTGCCATAGTTCTGCACCCTATAGGTTAAACAAAGACGCATTGTGATCCGCATATAAGTTGGACTCATCCCAGCTCTCTAAAATAAGCAGTAATTCATATTAAAAAGGATGGAGACAGACAGTCGAGTCTCCTGAATGCTAGTTAAGAGTTCAGGAAAAGCCCAGTCACTTCTTTGATTATTAAGTAATGACAGCAGACTTTAAAATTAGAAAGCAGAGCAGCAAAGATGCTTGGCAAATAGTCCCCCAAACCTACACCAGTTTCTGAAAAAGGAAAAGACTAGCATAGAAGAACAGTGAAATATAAACTGCATAAAATCTTGAATTGATATTTACAAACCATTTTATTTTTAGTAGGGAAGGGTCAGATTTGTATTGCTATCCATGTCCCCACAGGGGAAATGACTAACCTTTTCTATGTGTCCTGGTGACCACTGTTACCGAGACTGAAAGTAAGGGAAAATTCCACATTCCATATGCAGTTGTCACTAGGACAGGAATATGGGGAGCCTTACAATAGGGACTATGTGGCAGTGAGCATTTCCCTCACAATCTAGACCAAGGATAGCCAAACTCCAGCTGTGGTGGAACTACAAATCCCATGAGGCATTGCAAGATTCTCACAGTCACAGACATGACTCCCGGGGGGAGATGCATCATGGGATTTGTAGGTTCACCACAGCTGGAGGGCCGGAGTTTGGCTATCCCTGATCTAGACATTTTCTTTCACTTCCTGTTGCCTCTACTAGAATTGAAAGGAAATCTCCTCAATGAGACACAGACTGCAAAAAAAAAAGCAGACATGAGTTTAACTTTTAACCCTCCCCTACTCTATGCAAAAAGTTTTGTCTTTAGCTATACTATAATACGCCTAATTTACAATACTTTTTCATTCACTCATTAGTGGCCATTAAATTTAGCAGGAACGACCTGATAAAAACCTAAAATTGCTCATGTCTGGCATGTGATAGGATCAGTGCTGGGTTTCTGAGTTTTAGGCAGGGGAGAGAGAAATATGCCATCAAATAACCGAATGCAAGGAAGCCAATGTACAGGTAGCTGCTATGGGCATCCAACATGAAACCGAAGACACAGGTAAGTTGCTTTGAGGTTCACCTTTAGGAGGCTCAGAAAAATATTCATATGATATCTGAGGCTGGGACCCAAACCGAATAAGTGATATAATAAAATTGGCAAATAGCATTTATTTCTCTTATGCCGCTATGTCTGTGTATGTCTGTGTAGCTTTCAAAAACATGTACTTGTAATAGTACTTTGTAATAAATATGAATTACAGAAATGTTTACTTTACTGCTCTGTTGATAACAAATTCAGCCCCAAAGGTAAAACTTAGCACAATAATATGGATTCCAGTAGGTGGAGTCCTCTAAGTGGAAGCTCCAACATCAGTTACTGTGAGATATCAACTAAGATGCCTTGCCTATATCTTGAAACATCTGTGACATATGTATTCCTTCTATCACACGTGTAGCAAGCAATGGGACTATAGCCATGCGAGGATAGCCACACATCCCTGTACTGAGTAAGACAAAAGCAAACCTGTATCATATCACTGTCAAGGGTAAAAGTAGTTATTCTAATATGTCTCGGTGTTCATTGTATAAAGTCCATCTGTGCTGTCATTTCTAATTGACTGGTGGGAAGAGTGGGTTTTCTTGCTCACTTTCCCGGCAGACACTGACAAGAAGGTAGAAGAAGAATGGGAAGGATGCAATCAATAATATCTCTTGTCTCTTTAGATCTGCAGCCCATCACTTGTAAGTGACATGGATGGTAAACTCTTTGACCCTTTATATACTGAAAAAGGACAGGTCAAAACATGCTGAACATATAACTTACACACAGACTGACAGCAACTATCTTTTTTTTTTTTCAGGCCCGATGCCTATATAACAAAAATTGTGAGTGCATGATATAATAATAATTGATCCTGTTGAAACCCAGGACTCTATTTCCAAACATATCCATGCTGTGTGGCTCCAGCTGTGAAAATGACAGATATTATCAAGAGTTGTTTGTTTGTGTTAAAGGACAGCTTGATGCAATAGAGAACTTCATATTACATT